TCTCCCTCAACCATTAGAGAGATGCAAATCAAAACCATGATGAGATACCATCTCACCCCCATTAGAATGGTAATGATTAAAAAAAGGAAAATCAGTGTTGGAGAGGTTCTACAAAAACAGGAACCCTCATCCGCTGCTGGTGGCAATGCAAAATGGTACAGTCACTGTGGAAAACGTTTGATGGTTCCTCAAAAGTCGCACATAGAACTACCTTTGGCCCAGAAATACACCCAAGAGACTTGAAAGCAGCCACACAAACAGACACATGTACACTAATATCCACTGTAGCACTTTTCACGATAACCAAAAAGTTGAAAGAACTCAAATGCCCATCAACAGATGAATGGATAAATAAAATGTGGTATATGCTTATAATGTAACATTACTCAGCCATAAAGAGATGGATTAACATTGAAAACATTATTATGAGCAAAATAAATCAGTCACAAAATGACAAATACTATATGATCTCACTTATGAGAAGTAAATAAATATATAGAAAGCAAAGATTATTAATGGTTGCCAGGGGTGGAAGGGAGGGGGAAAAGGAAAGTTTTTGCTTAGAGGGCAAAGAGTTTATGTTAATGGTGGTGGAATAATTTGGAAAAGGGTAATAACAAATTGTTGCAGAACTTGAAGAATGTAATCAATATCACCAAATTACACATCTCAAAACTGTTGAATTGGTGTGTATTTTGTTATGTATACTTTCACCATGATTAAAAAGAATTCATCCTAAAAATCCAGTATCCCAAAATACTACTGCACAGTCGAATCATTAACACCTGTATAACAAAAAACAATGGCTATAAACTTTTTTTCTCATATTAATAATATGATTCACTCTATTAAATTCATTTTAGAAAGGGCATTAAATGATATAATAAAAATATCTGGAAACCTTAAGTTAGTAGCTCTCGAATTTTTCCATTTTATCACTCCCAAAATGATAGGAAATAAAGAAAATTTTTCTTTCTACTTCATAACATATCTTTATGAGCATACATGTAGGTAGATATATAAATTATGGATATATATTTTTGTGTTTATATTTGTGTGTGTGTATGTATGTATATTTTCCTCAATTCAAATAGAAGGGACTCCAAGAAGATTGCTCTTTGGCTTCAGGTGTCCCTTGGCACATTTCCACATGCCTCGAAGCACACCAATACCCCAGTCTAAGATTAAGAAACAAAGTTTTAGGTTAAACACAAAATTGTCTCAGTGCATTGAAAATATTCCAACAGCTCAAATATTTATCAACTAACGGCTAAACAAAATGTAGCATAGCCACACAGTAGAATATTATTTGGCAATAAAAAGAATGAAATATTGATACAGCTACAATATTGAAGAATCTTGAAAATTTTATGCCCAATGAAAGAAATCAGATACAAAAGGCCACATTTATGAAATGTTTAGAACAGGTAAACCCATAGAAACAGTAAATAGATTAGTAGTTGCCTACAGCTCTGGGCAATAGAGAGGGACTGCTAATGAATACTTGATTTCTTTTTAGGATGATGAAATATTATAAAATTATTAGTGGTGATGATTCTACAACTCAGTGACAATATTAAAAACAACTGAACTGTAAAACTTAAAAAGGGTAACTTTAATGGTATGCAAATTATATGTCAATAAAAAATAAGGGAAAAATGTCTACAAAAATATTTCAATATCCATGCTCTACTTCTCTAGCAAATAAAGGAAGTAAAGTATTCAATGAAATAAGGGATTAATTAAACTTCAAGACATTGAGAAGGAACAATGAAAAGGAAGGTAAGAGGAACAAGTAATATACACTAACACCAAACATTTTTTTCATCCTTTGGAATGAATCAAGGAGCTCTGGTAGTGCAGTGGTTAAGATATTCAGCTGCCAAACAAAAGGGTGGGTTTTTGAACCCACCAGTGGCTCTCCAGGAGAAAGATAAAGCAGTCTGCTTCTGAAAAGATTTACAGCCTTGGAAACCCTATATAGACGTTCTACTCTGTCTTATATGGTTGTTATGAGTCAGAATCGACTCGATGACAGTGGCTATAGTTTTGGTTTTTGGAATGAATGATATTTTAGTTGCCCAAGATGAGTGAAGGGGGTTCTAACACTTCACCAAATATTACACAGTATTACATGGTAGAAATAGTGTATTACTTCCATTTTAAAAATCTCTATCTTCTTTTAAAAGGAAAAAAATTGAAGTTGACATTCTAACCAAAATCTATTTACCATTCTGAATGAAGTTCAAGTGTTTCAGTATTCTGAAAAGTATCAAGCCTGTTGCCACGAATTCCTAAAAACACCTCTAATTTAACTTTTACTTGTCAGCCCTGTGTCTTTCTTTTAAAATTTATTCCTGTGCTTTTTTTTCATCCAACATCATTTCTAAATCATGCATAATCAACACAACTCACTTCTGATTCTACCAGGAAAAAAAAATCCATGAGTCCTTTCTATTTCATCAATTAACTACTCATCACATTCAATGTTTACCTACCTATCTTTATTCATCAGACAGAAATGCTGAAGAATCATAGTACTGAAGAAGATGTTAAACATTATCTAAACCAAATCAAACCCACTGCCATAGAGTCAATTCCAACTCATAGTGACTCAATAGGACAGAGAACTGCCCCACAGGGTTTCCAAGGCTATAAATGTTTACAGAAGCAGAATGCCACACCTTACTTCCACAAAGCAGCTGATGGGTTCAAACCACTGACCTTATGGTTGGCAGCCAAGCGATTTAATCACTGCACTACCAGGGCTCCTTAAAACCCATTGCTGTAGAGTCAATTCTGACTCATAGAGACTCAATGTGACAGAGTAGAACTGCTCCATAGGGTTTCCAGGGCTGTAAATCTTTACGGAAGCAGACTGCCACATCTTTCTCCCACAGAGTGGCTGGTGGGTTTGAACCGCCAACCTTTCTGTTTAGCACCTGAACACTTAACCACTACACCACCAGGGCTCCTTAAATATTATCTAGAAGCAATTAGAAGTAAGTAATTTGAACAAGTTTACACAATATGTCAATAACACAGGAAAGACAAGAATCCAGTTCTTCTGATCCTTACTATAGTGGGATTTGCAACAAGGACCAAATGACATATCCAGCCAATATTATTCTAGATCAGAAGTAGCATATTCCCAATTGAGCAAAATATCACTAGTTCTAGTTCCCCATCCCTAATTTTCACTTAAACAACTCCATTGCAACTCATGTTTCCTGTTTATCTTTTATCCCAATTTCCTGTTTGTCTTCTCTGCCCTCACTCTATCTTCAATTTTAATCATCCTTATACCTCAGATACCTCTATCTCCTCAATAATTCAGACCGACTCTGCCCAAATACAGTTTGTTAACTGCCAATGGAGTCTTAGCATCTTCTTCAAAATGACAACTGTTAAAAAGCTACGAAAAACTTGGCCACAGAAGTAGGGAATCTCTTCTTTCATTAAAAAAGTGTATGTTACTGTTGACAAATTTCTGAAGATATAGCATTAGAATATTAATCACTTAGTGAATGATTTTCCCTTTTTCACTATATATGCATCTATTTTCTTTGAACAAAAACCCTTCCTTTTTGAGCATAATTAACTAGGTAACTTAAAACTTATTTAAAAAAGCCAATTTAACACTTCCTACATGGAAGAATTACTATCAGAATGTGGTCAAATTATGCAAATTGAGTTTTTAAAAAAATTTATAGTAACACATTATCACTATATTACAAGTAGAAGATTGATGTTAAGTAGACTGACACATAATTTTGCTTTTTTTTAAAAAAATAAGTTCTGCCAGTGTATTTCCCAGTAAAAGAACAATTTCTCATTATAAACATTCCCCCCTTCCTCAATTTAGTTTTCATTTTTAGTATGTTCTGACTTTTAAAAAAGAAAAAACAATACTACAAAGAAAATGCTTTACCAAAATCCTGCATAATCATGGTATGGGCCATTCTAGATTCTGATGTGTGCAATCCAAGACTTCCACCACCTGGGTCCATTCTTACCAAAGTTCATTCACAAATCTCTGTAAAAGAATTTTTTTTTAATAGTTTAAATACATTTAGGCCAAAATCAGTTGTTTTCAGAAAGAAACAAAAAGGAATATGTCTCAACCATGTGTGTAAATCATTACAAAGGAAGTAATAATAATAAAAACCTTGCTGCTTTATGTGACAACTCTAAATGAAAGGGTCAGGTGGGAGTATAACAAAGGTGAAAAAGAATAAGACATATTAAGGGTGATAAAGCATAGGGAAATAATAGAAGCAAGCAAGCAAAAGAACAAAATTCCAAGCATTGAGATTCCAGTTAAAAGATGAGTTACAAAAGAAGAAAAAAAGCAAAAGAAGAATAAGGTAACAACAGACAGTAGTTGGGATATTTATACATTACTAGAGGACTCAGATGTCTAGTATTAGTCAATTTCATCCAGTGGCTCTCATCCATTTCTTCCAGACCCAGATCAGCCCTGCAGGCGAGCTCTGCAGATAAACTTGTGTTCACCTCTGGCTCCTGGGATTCTACTTATAATGTAAAATGTTCTATCCCAGTTTCCCTGGAGTTCTTTGAATCAGTAAGGACTTCTGGCCTCACTCTACTATATTCTCTTGTCTCACAGTTTTGAGGACTCATGAAACATGACTGCTTCCTAAACATGATAAAGATAGAATTAATCACATATAAACATTTAGCAAATTGTTTCTTTTAACATATTGTTTACTTAAAATTGTACAAGTGTTTTCTTTCTTTTCTCCCCCCAATAATGATTAATAAAGTCATGCTAGCCTCATGCTGGTTTTGATAGCAAGGGCTCAATCTATTTCATTTCAAGTAACTTATATTTAAGATCAGATATTCTAGAGCACAAAGTCAAATGCTGCCATTCAATGTTATCTCTTACAATGACAAAATACAAAATTCTAAATGAATCAATAAAATATGCTGTCAATTTTATAAAGCATTTCTCTCTTTTTCAGTTACAAGCATTTAATAAATTGGGTTATACTGCACAAAAGGTGAGATTACATCAATAAAAGTTTTAGAAAGCTGCCATGTAAAAAGAACTTAATCTATTCTTAGATTCTGTAAGTACAGAAGGTCACAAAGGTTTCCATCTTGCTTTAAAGTTCTATAGGTATGTATATAGGAAGAAGGGGCCTTATAGCATATCCCCTATCAATGTTTAAGTTGTATACATAAATATGCTACAGCACTGGGTGACACTTCCATATACCAAATGATTCAGACAAAACTACATTATCTATATGCAAGCAAAACTGCCAATTTCTTAGAAATTTTTAGCTATATTTTGTTATCATTTTTCAAATAGCAGAAAATTGTTTTCTGCCTTGCTATTATGCAAAATGAGGCCAAGAGTTCACAGTAAACAGCCTCTGTGTTCACACAGACAAATTAAAATGCCATAAATACTTATTTTTAACATTTAAAACAGTATCTATTTGGACTTTAATTAGAGTAATTGATTTCTTTATCACATACCTAATACAACAATTACAAATATCTTTAAAAACAATTTTGTTTGTTAATTTAAGCATTAAGTAATTTGTTAATCACCTTAACAAGCGTGTCTCCGAGGCATTGTAGATTTTCTTTCATATTATACAATAAAATCTGCAGTAATTTCTTTTTGTTATTTTTTCCTTCTGAGCTATATTATTTTCTTTGGGAAAACGTTCTCTTTACCTATTGTAAAAACATATTAAAAATTAGATATTTGGCATTTTAAATGAAATACCTTACACAACTTAAGAATGCTTTTCTTTACATTTTAACTTGCAGGGTTAAGTTGTGAAGGGCTCATAGGCTCAAATTTGAGTTAAATTAAAAAGCAACCAAAGAGATTGAAATAGAAACATCTGTCAACTACAACATAAGCAACGTTATTACATATGATTAAATCAAAATCTTCTCTAAATCACATTTAAAAAAACTATCAAGATCTTGTTTTGCAAAGTGAAAGCGAACCAAGGGCAAGCTTTATCCTTGCCAAATGCATAGAGAAAAACTGCACTAGCACTCAATTAAGTAAAAATTAACACATAATATAATTGTTATGGGAACTATCACTACATAAATACCAAATAAACATTTTTCTTCCCATATGAGAAGTTTCAATAAGCTCAATAAGAAGAAATGATGTATGAGAACAGTAGTACTGTGTTAAGTATTCAATAACCTTCTCAAGAGTACATCCACATCCTTATTGAATAGAGGTAACTCACCAAGTACGCTTCAAGTAAACATCTTTCCATCGATGTAGCAGGATCAGAAATCACAAAAACAAAATTTTACTCTGATCTATCTCCTCTAATCATAGCTCATTCAGGACCTAGCTAGTCAGTGATGTAAATGGGGCGAAGGGTAGATAAGAAAACCGAAGGCGGCTGAGCAAGAGAATGCGAAAGTAGTATTTGCAGAGATAGGAGACAAAGGAGCCCTGGCAAATAGCAGTATTGCAGCTTTGGACGCAGCCCTCTTCCCGCATAAGTCTTTCTTTCCCACGACTATGCCAAGTTTCAGTCATTTCAAGCAAAATGCTCACACGTGTCCTCTCATATAGTACCCATCTGACTAGATCTTAAACCGAACGACGACGGAAAGGAAGAGACCTAAACGGCAAGAATCGCCCTTCCTCTCCTCCCTCCTCTCACTTGGTGCAGCGGTCGCCACCGCTGCTACTCACACAGCGCTGCCCAGCCCCTCAGCCTCCTCCCGCTCCTCCTGCCCCGCTACAAGGGAGACGGCTGGGAATCAAAATGGTGGTGTTTTAGTGAAGGCGACAATTGCCGCACACAGCCCCCCAGGCTCTGAGGGCGCCCTATCCCCCTAAGATGCTCGATTAGGTGCCACCACCACGCAAAGGACCGCCATCCTTCGCGCATTCCAAATGTTACCATTAGCAGCGGGCTGGTGGCGGGGGTCGCATGGAAGGAATATGGGGGGGGTCGCCGAGAGAAAATGCCAGGGGACGCCGCATTCTTCACTTCACCGTTTTGTTTTCCGCCATTTTCCCATCACCCTAAACCACCGACGGCCACAACGACAGCTCTTGCTCCCAGGGGCTCTGGCCTAAGGGAAGAAGCGGTTGGCAGAGGAGGAAACACCCACTTCTCTCAATTCCTCCAGCCACTGGCTGCAGCTGAGGAGCGAAAGTATCCGCCTGAGGGGGAGGAAAGGCTTAGAGACCAGATGCTACTTCCATTGTTCCTCTTGCCTTACACTACATACTAGGTGCGAGCCTCTCCTCCCCTCACACGAAAGACACTCAGCACAGCGGACCCAAGTCCTTCCACTTCTCCTCAGGAGTCTCCTTACCTGCCGCCGCCAGAGCAGCCGCCAATTGGACTCTGACCGCGCTCCGGATTTCTGCGAGGGGCGGCAGCTGTGGATCTGTAAGGTCCTCACATTCGGGTTTCCGAGGTCCCACAGCCTGAACCAATCACAAGCTACCCTGCGACTGGGAGGCGCACTGTTTCGCCCTCCTTTATATCGCCGCTGACTGCTGAGATTGCATTACGTCACGCTACCCTTGCTGCAGGGTAGGGGGCCAAAAGGAGGAGCGCGCGCACGCGCGCGGGAGCTCGAAAAACCCGCGCTGTGTTTGTGCTTGGAGACCCCGCGGACTTGCAGTGGAGGCTGCAGTTCCTGCCAAGCTCAAGTGCGCAAGCCCAGATCTTGGCGCGCCCCTGAGGAGTTTCCGTGGGAAGATTTTTCTGTTTTCCAGGTTTCCCAAAGGAAAGGAAGAGAGGGACAGGGGGAAAATCAATGCCTGGATCAACACTCACTGAGCCTCTAATAGGTGTTGGACATTGTGTAAAACATATCGCCCCTACCCTCAGGGATTAACCTTGCCAGAGTGATAAGGTATGTCCCTCCTAATAAAACCAATGTCTATTTTGCAATTTTCCTCCCTCCCTTCCTTCATTCCTTTCTTTATATTTTCTAATGGTAGACAATTCGATGAAGAAAGTAAGGGAGAGTGAAGAAAGGGATGGTAAGTAAAGGTGGACATAGTGCCGATGGCAAGGTACCCAAAGGAACTAAAATACCTAAATATTTCTTGAATGAACTAAATATCTCTTGAATGACTCACTCGCAGCTAATGTCTGCACTTATAAAGGTGGGACAACAGTTCAGGGGATGAGGGGTGAGGAAGAGTGATGAGATATGACTCAAAGCTAGGTGGAGACTAGATTGCATTTGCAAATGGCTTTATATTATAATAATATTCTAAGAATTTGGCTTTAATACTGTAAGCATTTGGAACCAATTGTAATGTGTAAACTGGGAAAGGATACAATCCTTTGGGGAAAGAAAAAGTGAGATAAAATTACTTTTGTCTAAATAATTTGAATATTTATAAACAAAAAATTTTATTCTTCTGGATTATCTAGCTATTTCTCCATATCACTAAACCTAATACATACATACCACTAAAGATTTTGAGGAAACCATAGGAAACGTGATGTAAATGCCCTAGCACACTACCTGACTCATAGTAGACCAATAAACAAACTTTCTCTGCAAAGGGACAGGTAATAAATGTTTTAGTTTTTTTTTTTTTTTCAGGCCATACAATCGCTGTTAAAACTATTCAACTCTGCCATAGTAGCCCCAGATTACTCATAGACAGTATGTAGACACATGAACATGTCTGTGTTGCAATAGAACATTAATTATGGGTACTGAAATTTGAATATCATATCGTGTACTTTTTCATGAAAATTATTCATTTCATTGTCACAAAAATTACTCTTCTTTTAATTTTTTGAACTATTTAAAAATGTAAAAATGATCCTTAGTCATGAACCATTAAAAAAAAAAAAGGCAGCGGTCCATATTTGACCTGTGGACTATAGTTTACTGACCCCTGTAGATGTTATTTATTTCCATTTTTATTTCACCTCCTTGATGAAGAAAGATATTTTTATGAGTTGGTTCCCATAATGACACATTTCTGCATTGGATACCCTGACAA